TTATCATTTACCCCATCTGTAGCCAACACTATAAACTCATCTTTCTCGGTTAATCGACGAAAAGATACATCAGGCACAGAGATTAGACCAAAATCTTTAAGGCAAAAGTCTCCAAAAGCACGTGCCATTGCAAGTCCGGGTGAGTCACAGTTTGGCAGCCAAACTCTACAAACTTCAGGTTCATCTCTAAGAGCAAATACCCGTCCACGACACTTTTTTATTCTCTCCGCCTCGGCTGCAAAATCAATCGAGGCAATAAAAAAACACAACTTCAATAATGGAATCTATCATGCAGCCACATGACACTATCATAAGGAGCAATCATCCAACCTGGGAGATTTGGCTTGAGATCCACAGTTAGTTGAACAGCAACAAGAGCATTTGCACTGTCTCTTGTGCCCATCACAGCTCTCGAGTCCCCAACATTTCCAACGACGAGATATTGACCCTACAATAGATACACAATAAAGATCCCGACATAGAGAACAGAGCTTAAACTTTAAACGTACTAAGCCGAGACAATACCTGCTTGATCAAAGTCACAGCCGTTGTCCCACTGCAGAAACAATCAACACTTCCATGGAATTTAAGTTCTCTATCCATAACTTTGAAAGCCTTAAGAAACGACTCTTTAAGTGTTTGAAACAATTCAAAATGAGACTCTTCCGTGTTCCCCTCCTCCATGTCAATAGATGGCATAGGTTCTTCTTCAGCAGATACAAAAGCAGCAGCAGCAACATCTTCAGAGTTGTTAGTGTTGCTTGTACTATTAACGGTGGTGATCGCCTTTAGAACACCTTCAACCGGCACTTTTGCTTCCCAATAAGCACTTAATTTGAGAGGAAGGTTGTCTCTGACTCTCTTTGCAACCATATGACCATATGGACCATGGCCATCAAACACTCCACAGAAGACTGTATCCGTCCTCGAACCAAAATTCTGAGAACGAAAAACGGTAAACAATCAGAATCATTTACATAGACCGATATTAGAGCCACGAAAACCTGAAGACTCTAAGCACATATTTCAATATCTCAGAATCTTCTATTGTGTGCAATAAATAGAGAATAGACAGAACATAAAGACCATGATCAAAAAGGAAAGATTATGGGATGTAACTAACCTCCCAAACAACCATGGCATCTTGATTAGGACCTTTCTTGCCTTGTTGAGTGAAGATACAAGCAACCTCACTTGAACCATTCAAGAACATACGACCCGGAACACGATGCAAAGGGTCGTCTCTCCTGTAATCAAAGGAAGAGTTCCTAGAACCAGATCGCTTCTTAGAGTTCTTCCTCTTCCTAACACCAAAGCCAGGAGAGCAAGGAGAGCCCGGTCTAGGACTCCTGCTCTCTGCAGATAAACAGGACCCCATTCTAAGGGCCCTGATTATATTAAGAAGGCACTCCAGACCAACAATGGTACAATCACACCCACGGTCCTCCAGCGAAAAAGATTCAAGCTTTAGATCACAATTATCACCACAAAGAGCAATGATGAGAGATCTCTGTAAGAACCAGAACACAACTCCTTTTTTAGATCCCACCAATGATCATCACACAGAGCAAAAATGATGATTACTGTAAGAAGAACACAAACCTCTGTTTCAGTTCCAAGCTACTTTCTGCAACAGCCCTACTGATCAAATACACACACACACCAGTGATTCTTAAACCCAAATCGCCAAAATTGAACACAAAATGAAAATAAAAAATCAAGCCTTTCAAAGCTGACTAAAGAAAAGGTAAGACTTTCTGGGTCTCTGACCCTTTTTGTGAGTCTTCAAAGGAAAAAAAAAAAAAACGTTTTTTACAAATAAAATATAACCACAAAAGCTTTATGAGAAAAGGAACAGATCTACGTAGATTTTTTTCTATTGGCACCACAAAAGAAAAGAAGAGAGGTGTTTGTTTATTTATTTAAACATCAGAATCCATCAAACAGTGATTGAGAAAGAGACTGCAAACACGAGAATCATCAAAACC